GGAAAATACATGATACTGAAATACTACTGTATATGAAATGTCATAATGTCAGCTTGATTGTACTTTTGTAGAACACATATAATTAGAAAATAATTTTATAATTTCTAAATATGATCAGAACTTTAAAAGTTACTTGAAAACAGACAAACTGGCGGAAGAAGCCAGCTGTATGAGGCTGGAGGTGGAAGCATACCGTGTGAAGGCGCAGCCGATTCGCAGGTCCAACTCCTGACGAGCATCCACCGACAGCGCTTCGTTCCTGTTGGGTTCTCCCAGCCGGTTCATGGCGTTCCAGATGTCTGTGTCGGTTATGGAACTGAATTTGGCCCGGAACACACTCTGATCCCTGACAATGCCTTTATTCAGGACTGGCTGGATGGCATCCAGAACCTGCAGGTGAAAGGTTTCCTTTAACAATGGCAACAGGTTCAACAGCCTAATTAACATACTTGTACATACTTGTCAGCTCAGTCTATGTCAAATATATTAGTGAATATGTTTTCAACCTCAATTAAAACATGTATTTCCTGTGGAGACTTGGTATCCATGAGGAAAGCTACCTCAAAACAGATGTTCTCGCCTTCTTTATCACAGTCCAGCCATAAAACCACATAGTCACAGCCTCTAGCTTCAACCTGGAGAAACTTCACCATGCTGAGTTTAGGATTGGCCTCCTTCTTTTCTGTTGGAGCTTTGCTGAACAGCTCTGCAGGATCTACTTTGTCCCAGTTGTTGTATTTTCCTAGAAAGAGAAAAATATGCACTGAGATACTGATTCCACTAGACTTTTTTTTTCTTGCAAAAAAAAACAAACTTATTTTAAAAAGAAGTCGTACAAACATTTTAGGGACCACAAGGAGTTGGTGTTTAACCTAAAAATAATAAAGAACTTAAAAGCTTGTAAACATTACATTTTGTTTTATTTTATTTTCCCTATGAATATGAATATTTCACATAACAAATATAAGAAATGAATGTAAAGGAACAGAAAGAAGTATTAACTTATATCTTCCTCCATTCACAAAGAAATTCACAAGAAGAATTAAACTCAGCTAGCATGACATCGAGATACATAATTGCAATAATATTGTAACAGTAATATCAATGGCATTTAATTAACATCTTTCTGACTCTTTTTATCAGTTGTGGGCACAAACAGCAGTTAGGGTCCATTCAACTGGCAAAATATATAATGTTAATATGCACAGAATAAATGAATTACATGTAAAATATGTAATCCAGCTAAGTGTGCATCAAAGCAGTCCTTTGCATTGTAAGATTACATACACTGATGTTGAAAAGATGACTGCAGAGTCATATTTTCTGCAGCTCTACAAATAAATTTCTCCACTATTTTTGAATTACATTACAAGAAGTCAGCCTGCAGGGAAAAGAGATAAACTGCAGGCACCACAAACTGTATAGTTACAAGTTTAACTCCAATATTCATAATATGCATTTAAATGATTTAATAAAAAAAGAAAGCTCTTTTTTAGAACATAATCTGATTTAGAACATAATAGATTATGTTGTCTCTCTCTAACCGCTAATTTCCATCTTCTTCTCCCTGTCATGACTCAAGAATTGCTGAATCAACAAACTGACTGGATTACAAAAGCAGTTACTTAAAAAGAGGGGGAAAAGCACAATTTACTCACTACAAAAAATAAACAAAATCAAAAGAAAAAAAATAAACAGAATTTTCTCTTCAAAGAAATATTCTGAAACAAAATCATAAAACTTTAATTCTCTGCTTCCCTTACTATGAGATGTAGCCTGAGCATTTGTATTCTGTAAAGAGTTCAAATGATTCCATTTAATTGTATTTTTTTTTAAAGAAGATGACATTTATGTTCTCCAAGCAACAAAATACTATCAAGACTAAGATGAAGAAAGAACAGGATCCAATATGAGAACACCCACCAATAAAGTCCAGACTCATCACATGACCACAAACAGAGGTCATCTTAAAGCGGACGGTCTGGCTTTGAAAACTGCCGTTGTATTCATGCACTGAGCATGCTCCATTGAGCCCTTTCCGACTGGTGCAGCTTCCTGAAAGAGAAGAACAACACAACAGCAGAGACAGACTAATTATTCAGGCAGCAGATTCATCCAGTTGACATTTGTTTTTTAATAATAATTGCGATCTGTTACACAGGGTTGGCACAACTGGTGAGCAGCTCTGTGTTGTTCTCACTGGTCAACTTCTCATGAAGTAAACTCCAAAACAATGTTAATGCAACAGCTTAGACGGACGAAATTATGAAAGGTTCTAGATACTTGTCGATTCGTACCCAAATCATCCAGCTAACTGGAGGATTTGGGAAACTGAACAGGGATTTCATTTTTCAGCATTTTTCAGTGAGTCCAAAACTAAATCCAACAGAAAACCTGAGGGGTCACCTGAAGTGGACTGTGGACAAGAGATATGTGTACCATGCCAAGATATGGAGTGCTGACTGACTCAATGTTTAAATTAAATAAAAGAAGTGTATAAATAATCTATATATAACAGGCATATAACGCTATCATTGTGGGGAAATTATACTGACCACACACACATATCTTTGTCTCTCAATACAAGTCATCAGAAAGGGAGTGATGGACCTGATTTCCTTCTGAATTTTCTTTAAAATAGGCTTTGTCACAATCACAAACCAAGGTATTTGATGACAGTCTATTTAGAAATTGTGAACTTATAGAACTTACACTATGGGCTGCCATTTGTAACTGTTTCAGGTTCATTTTTCAAATATTTTCACCATGTTTTTCATTCATTGATAAACGTCACAGTTTCAAGCTAAATAACTATAAATATTTAGCTAGCTTATTGCTAAATATTTAACCTGGAGCTAGCTCTTTAGTTTGCAAAATGCTTAGATAACAAACTAATAATTTAGCTTGCTAACTATTAAAGTTGAAATTGTGATATTTATAAATGAAATAATATGGTGAAAATATAAATCTATTTTTTTCTTCTCGTGAACGGCTAAATAAGCCAAATTATTGTTTATTGCCGCTAAGTTTTTATTTGTATATCTTTTAAAAATAGCACCCAAGCTAATACTAAATATTTCGATTAAAAATATATATTTTTAGAAATTATTCAGTAGAATTATATTCTAAACTTGCATATGGACCTCCAGACCACAGATGTTTGAAGTTAGTTTAGTTACAATGAATATTTTCTTCAGTTCAGTTTAACATTTAAGCATACAGCAAATGATGTTAAAAGTAATTTTTTTGTTAAACACTGTCGCTGTATGATACTGGTTTCAACCGCATATACAATCATATTCAATAAATCTGAATATGTATTCCGATTAGGCTTCTTGGGTTAAAAGTATACCTTCTGAAAATGAAAACCTTCAAGCAGGTATTAAACATATTTTTCATTAAGTCCACATTTTTGTTTAAAAATATGTTGAATAATGTAATATTTTAATGTCATGTTTTCATCAACTGTAAACAGAAAATCATCATAAATAACAGAAATAAAGGATTGAACAGTTCAGCCTGAGTAATTACTTACCTAATTATTTTTTCACTAAGTGCAATATATTAACTTTTTATTAATATTGTAATAAATATGACTGTGTAAACGTAAGGAATTAATTCCGATTTACCTTTGGAGAGAATTTTGGCGATCGACTGGGCCAAAGAAGGCTTCTCTGCTACCATCAGAACGGTTCTCATTCTGAATGATTAGAAAAGAGCTGCTCCTCTAAAAAAATTCTGTCTAGGCCGTTAAATACTAACACTTTGGAAGAAATAGGCACTCGGCGAAACTACTTAGCCAGAGGCAGCAAAGAAAGAATACTTTACAGCCTAGAAATCGTTTAAACCTTTAATAAAATATAGTCATACAGCATAGTAAAGTCACTTGCTAAAGTCAAAGCTTGTTTATTTGCGTTTACTTCCTTCTTCCTTTGTGTTTTATTGGCGGATGGCAACCAACTTAAGGGGCATTTACCGCCACCTACCGGCTTGGAGTGTGCTCATCAATGATACACAGAGCGAATTTAGTAATACACACACACACGCACACACACACACACACACACACACACACACACACACACACGCATATATGCACATGCATACACATATATATATACTTTTAAATACCATTAAATAAGCTAGTAATTTTTTTTATCTAATTTATTTATTTCTAATAGATTTTGTTCCATTTCCTAAAATATTTATAGGAAATCGTTTTTATTTTAAACTTCTACATTTATTTGTACTCCTGGCACAGTTTGCTTCAATGTCATCTGTTTCCGTCTTGCATTTACTTTCAGTGCCGTGTGTTACATATAAACAGACAGATAGAGGAAGTCGAAGGGATCATATGAAAGCCCACATTTGTGGACATCCACGGAGAAAGGTGAAATGGAGTTTTTTGTAATGTTGTTGCAACACATAAATCATTGACCATGGAATTCTTTCTTGTGTTTTTTCCACTGCTATAGCCTTCCTCTTTACTTGACCAGTTTCTGCAAATGAGCCCAAACAGGGGTGCCTGCAGCTACTACTACTGTACTACTGTGCGTACCTTGACATTTTCCTTTTAGTAATATCAAAGTCTGTGTATGTTTTGTGTATGTTTATGTGTGAATGTGTACATGTCCATTATAAATTAAATTTGAAGCTATATAGAACTGAACAATCTGATGACTCACACATGAACACTTGATAGGAGGTTGAAATACTGTTGAATGAAGGGGACTCCACATAGTTACATGGCCTCATCAGCATATGCTTCAATAACTTTAATTAGCATAAAGGTACACCATCAAGGCTGAATGCTAATAACAGAAAAAGCACAATGATAGTGACTAATATGTCGTTACATCTTGTCCTAAGTTTTGGAACATGTAAAGTCCTGCCTACTTGTTCTCATTAATACCTTGACCAATCTGATTAGATTTGGAGCAATAATGACAAGACCATGGCATATAAATAGAGGAAGGTCCAGGCACAGGTTCCAAGCTGGTGCCAGGCATAAGGACAAAGCCAACAACTGATAAAGATCTGAAAGAAACAGAAGTCGGGCTTACATCATGGAAAAATTTCAGGTAAGAAATGTACCTGTTTGAGAATTGTAATTATAATGACTTCACATTAGCATCCAATAAAAATTACTAGACAAGTAAATTAAATAACATGAATTCAAATGTTCTGTCTTTTAAGACAAATTGCAGTTGTGACATGTGAAAACAGGAATCCCACAGCAGATCATTCCAGTTTCATTTGTTCTGTAGCACATTTTGTTTTTTCATGAATTCTTAGTAAAATGTTCTAGGAAAACATGGAAATCTTTTTTGAACTCCTTTTTAGACTGCTGTGTAAGTGAAAGCATGTTGGTTGTCATTTCCAGATGAGGAGTTGGAGCCATTACCTCTGGGTAAGAGGTATTCTCCAGAGCCTGATTGGCCCTCTCTGCCAGTCAGCTGATTAGAGCATGAAACTTATCTTGGCAGCATTACATACAGTTTATAAATGAGTTCAAAGTAAAACCGACATGATCAACATTTATAGATCGTTTGCCACAAATCAAATACTGGGGTGGTTTGTTACTTAATAGGCCATTTTACTGATGCTACTGGGGTGCTGGAGCCTAATTCATTTGTCATGTGTTGAAATTTGATGTGGTTACTGTTTTCTTCCTTTGGAATTCATACAGTCATACAGTCTTGGTTGTTGTGTATATGCAACAGCTGTGTATCTTCCTGCTGTGCCTGCTGATCCTCCACCAGTGTGTGGCCATGCCACTGAGCAACCAGTGTGTTGGAGAAACATTGTGCTCCTTCACCTTGAAAGACAACTACAACCAGATGACTACCCTTCCCGAAGATATCAATACACGCAGCCTTGCACCCTGGATTTACCAGTGAGTGTGTTTTTACAGTGTATTGTCTTTTGTTGAGTTGTGGAAGAAGCTATAATCCCCAGAAATGTAAAGATGTTTACTGAAGCCTGAAGAATCTGAGTACACTTGGCAACTGTTTTTTCTGCCTCTGAAACAATGAATTCCAAATAGTTTGGAACTCTTCCCAATTTGGCAGGCATTAAATATTGCTTCTGTCTTTACTAAAAGCCACGGATGACTTGGTTTTACATGTGAAATAATATTGCATAATTTTTACAATTTTGCTGAGCACCTTTCACTCTAAGAAATGAAATGTTGAATTTGCTTAACCAAGTTATGTCAGCTGGTTTCACTAAACCTAGTTAATTCAATGTAAAGAGTATTACACATTTACTTTCAACTTAATCATTAAAGACAAATACATTCAGTTCAGTAAATCCAGACTTAAGTTTGTTCAATTTAATGCTGTGAAGTTAAATTTACAAGATGCTAATAGAATCTACTTATGCCAGTTTAGTTCAATTTATTCAACATTGTTGAGTTCTTGAACTTTGTTGACAGAACTTCATATTCTCATGTTCAAGTTAAATAACTAGTTTAGTCGAACCAGTTGACATGACTGTGTTAAGTAATTGAAACATTAAAAATGTTTATGTTTCAAAGGATTAATTAAACAAATCTAGCAAATTTTACCCACTAAACTTTATTTTGAAAAGTTAGATTTAAGAACAGTAAAGTCAAACATGGCAGTTTTTATACAAAAACTAAAAAGGTCAAGCAGTCATAGTTTGTTCACTTTTTTCAGTAAAACAAACAGTTATTTGCAAGGTTATTCAAATTACTATTTAAAATTATGTTTTTATGCTGAACACAAGCGGGTTTCATTGTATTTACAAAACATGATATTTTAAAACAAGTAATGGTAAGTGATTAGATCAAATGTAATCTTTCACTTTAAATCTAATAGGTATTTAAGCAAATGAATATTGTCCCTTCTCTTCCGTATTGCATCATCACCCCAGTTGGGCAAACCTAACTTACTATGACACTTTTACACCAAAACTAGTGGGGTGCTGCTAGCATGAACTGTAAAAATTAGGGTAGAAAACGGAGTCTGAGAGGTGAAAAGCAGAAGTAAAAAGATAAAATAAAATATTTGCTTAGATTCTGATGACATTTTATGCTTCACAGTACACAATTCTTCTCTTTATGCCGCCTTGAGAAGTGGAGCAGATTATTATTTTTTGTGTTTATGTCATGTGACATGACTTTAGAATATAATGTCCACATTACAATGCATGTAAAATTTTTGAAATGATCACATTTGACTCATGATTTTCAATTGCTCAGGCCTTAAACTATAACAATAAAAGATAAGAGATAAGACATATCTGATCTCATCTGACACTGTTTTTATGCAAATTGAAGTTACCTGGCAAAGAGCTTTCATAGGATGAAAAAATATTTTGTGCTCTCCTTGTTTTTATTCTGTCAACAGAGACAAAATTGACTTAAACCGAGAACCTCAGGTGATCCGTGAGGCCAGGTGCCAGGATAACCACTTTGGCGGGAGGTGCAACAGTGCCTTGGGACTAGAGGTCATCCCCGTTACCCTTAGGATGCCTGTTCTGAGGAAAAACTCGGCATGCTTCCCCCTACCCAGCTACTCTGTAGAATTTGAGGACATTACTGTCGCATGCATATGTGCCTCAGCCCGCACACAGGAAGAAATAGCACAGGGTTGAAGTCAGACATCTGGAAATCTTTATTTAGTCAAAAAAGATGTGGCATCTGTGATTAGTGAGAACTATCTCTTTTAAACCATTGTGTTCATCAGTAAGACAGTAAACATTCAGTAGATATCTGCAAATTAATTAGCTCTGTAAATGTTAGATTCATCTGCATCATTATTGTTGCATTGAACAAGTTGTTTTAATAACAGGTAGGTCACAGCATAAATATGCATAAAAACAACAATATACTAGTTAATAAAATGCTAAACAGTTGATGTGGAGTGAAACTTGTATTTATTTGACAGAATGATATATTTCAAGAGTTTGTTTTTGTTCATTTCAATTATAATGGATTCGACCTGGTGGTGAGACTCGATGAAGATTCTTCTTCAAGTTAATTGCAGGGTCTGTAAATGATTAATTGCATTTTGGTTAACAACTGTAAGTAAAGCAACATTTTAAATTAATAAAACTTTTTTATTGATGTTAAAAATAAATGAGCTGAATAATGAGCTCAACAAAATAGATATCTCCTGTTTTGAATCTGATATTCAGGTTATTTGACCATCAGACATGCTGCAAAGTGTTATTTAGTCACTCATCTGTGACGTGTTTCAGAAATTCTTCATCAATCATGGAACTTCTTTGAACAAATCTGTTTTTAGAAATGTTTAGCACTGAGATTATATTGAGATGATGTTGTAGATTTGAATAGCTTAAGTGATTGAGCAGCATCTGCCTTAATTAGAGCTAATGAAAACGTAAAATTCAGTGTCTTGAAAAACTGCATTATTACATTAGAACAATAAATAACAGATTTTTAAAACCGAAACATGCACTAATATCCCATTCTACTACACAGTAGTTGCACACAGGACCCATTCAGGTCTTCTTTTATATTAATCATATTACCAAAGCAGCGTGGCACGGAGCATGTGGCTCCAAACACACTACAGCAGCATATGAAATCATCACTGACTGTGAAACATAATGCTGAACCTCAGGCAGCTTGAATTTGCTGCCTTTCTCTTTTTTTTTATCTGACTCCAGAACTGTGAAAAAAGGACAGTCCAGACCTCTTCTCCTTTGCACAGGTTAGGTGATTATGGCACCAACTCAAAAACAGATTACCACAAGTAACATGACAACACTTTGCATGACGCAAATGTTGTCACGTAGTTTTGTTAATGGTTTTTACACTGTGACTAAATGACATCATATTGATGTTCTTAGTTGTCAGAGACACAATAACGCCTTCCTGAGCTCAGAGGTTCAAACTCATGAAAAAAGAATGGATGCTATTTGCCAAAATATTCCTGGCGATCTTCCACTCTCTTTCAGCAAACACTTGAGACAGAATTGTTTTTGACGTCACCACTGTTTACCATCTATTTTACCTGCCATTTAAAGTATTCTTAATTTGTCTGTAGCTCATGTATCCATACCAACCGGGGAGATGGAAAAGTTAAAACACTACCGCTTCCTATAGGTGAATATATCACAGATTTCAAAACAAAATTAAAACGGGAGGCAGCGGATAATATAGAAAATAGCGCCACCTTCACTTCCGGAGTGCAATGGTCCCATTTCCAAATATGGTGTTAGTCTGCCATGTGGTCTGTCCCCACCCCTTACTGTTTGCTGCAACGAGGTCCTTCTCAGCAGAAGGGTCCAACGTAAAGCGGAGCTTTTTTTTTTTTTTTTGCAGATCTGTAAACACCATGGATAGTACTCGCTCAGTTCAGACGTCGTTTTCATCGTCCCTGCGGGTAGTGGAAGTAGACAGCGTGGTAAATGCATCTCCTCTAGTCTTTGTGTAACTGAAGGGCGTGTTTCTGTACCACTATTCTACAAAGGAACTGTTTCTATCTCAGGGTAAGACGAAAACACAACTTTTTGCTTGGGTAAAAATGAGCATTTCTTCACCCATTCGAGTTTTTAGCTTCTGACGACACAATTCTGTGTGAACATGACCAACCATATGTTTAAAGAAGCATTCTAAGGTGTCCGTATTCCGCTCGCCGAGTTTCTCCAGCTTTCTTCCCTTTCTAAGGCAGATTCAACTATACCGTTACTTATCCATCTTTAGTTGTTCGCTTTGTGAGCTAGGCTCACCTGATAACCACAGCGAGAACTTAAGGACGCGTTCGAAGGCTTTCCTTTGTTGTTTTCTAAGGACACTTTAAGTTTTTCAAAACTGATTTCCGATACGGGATAGCATCATGCTCACTTTGAAAGGTGTTGGCTGGGTCTCTGCTGGGTAATTTACGGAAGCTTGTGTTTAACAGTAAAAAAAAAAAAAAAAAGCAACACGACTTCCTGTTCCTGCATACCGACATGGTTGTAATTTATTTTTGTTCAGCAATATGAGCCACTTCGGCAATTCTGCTCCACAAAAATGCTTGAAAGTTGTTTATCAAGTTTTTGTCATATCACAGAATCTTCCCAGGAAACGGGCGTTTCTGAAGATTAAGCTCTAATAGAGAGACATCAAGCAGAAATGATTTGAGCTCAGCCCTGCTGCTCTAATGGACAATGCAGGACCGTTTCCCCATCCCAATTTATTTCCCATCTTTAATTTGGGAAAACCTGGGTTGGACAATTTTTGCTGGAGTTTGTGACATAGATTTACCAGTTTAACTAACATATATGTTGTTGGATCATTTTAGTGAAGTTATTAATTTGTAACATCACAGTAATAACCATGTTTTTTTTCTACATTACATTTGACACAGATATGGTTTGTTTTGTATTCATATTTCAGTTTATGCTTAATTTATGATTAAAGCCATGTTTCCACCTGTGTACGTGCTTATATAATTGTGTAATTTACTTGTAAAAATAATAATCTATTTTAATAATACACGATTAATAAATCCTTACATTTTGAGTTACTATCATCTCTGAACTGAAGCATACATTTGGCTATTTGCTAGTTAACTGTCATCAAATATTTGGCAATGAAAAAAACAACTTTTTGTTTTAATATATGATGAATGTCTACATATCTTCAACCTAAACATGTTCAATAAAGTAATTTTTTTTTATCAGCTGTTCATCAGATTGCAGTCTGCAGAGATCCCAAGTGGCTGGAATGGAGGAGGAGGAGGCCCAGTGCTTCCTGAAGAAGCTTGTGGAGGAATTCCCTGCTGCTCTGAAAGAAGACGCTCCTCTGCCGGTCAGCTCCCTGAGTCGGAGAGTCTCACTGGAGGAGCTGCAAGGAGAGAACCTGGAGCTGGGCCAGAGGCTGCTGGCTGCTCGGTATGGATATACACTTCATTCATTCTTTTGGCTTGGACCTCAATACCTGCTGGTTGTTACACATGCCAGCTGGGGAATTTAGCTTTGCTACCTTCAACATCATATATAGAAACAGTTTTGGAGCTTGCATGCATGCTGCTGTAGGAAGCCACTGGGAGGACCTGAGTCTTGCCTTTAAGATGTGATCAAAGCACAGAAGCACAAGTCGTGTTTCTTTATTTGGTCCCGCTGTCTTTAAGAGGGGCTGCACTGGGTCCTGTCCAGGGTGTACCACACCTCCTGCATTTTCACTGTGGGTAATATGCACCATAACCCCTTACACTCCTCTTGAAGAATGGTTTCAAGAGGACTATCCAAGTTTTTTGAACAAACCTCCCATTTCCTGAAGTATTTATCAGCATTCATAAATACTCTAAATTCCTGACTTTGCCTCATATGTCAATACTAGTGAAATCACATCCAAATCTGCTCTTGCTTGTAGCATTCATCCACCATGCTTATGACACTACACCACACCAAGTTATGAATACCCTTTAAAAACTTTATCTCTCAAACCTCTTAGGATGACATTTTCCATGTCTTTAAAAGCTAGCTTTCATTTTTAAATGTTTGTTAAATACACTTCAGACATGAAGCCTACACATCACACACCTGGTTAGACAGAGATTGTTAGATTCCCTGAGCTTTTTTTTTTTTTTAATCCTTTATCCTTTATCCACCAGTCCTACGTGTACTTGTCTGTGTGTTGCATTCTTCACATACTTTAGCAGCTCTCCCTTGCACTGCTCATTAATGATCCACTGTTAACTCTGCTTGGGGAAGCCACTACTGTTCTAAAAGAAAAGCTACTCATGCTATGTAAACAGTCAGAATATAAAGTGACGTGATGTATGCTTTTCCTTTTTGAGAAAGATTCAGACTTTTCAGCAGCTAACAGGAAGGCTGAACAGAATACTACAAAGCTGGTCTGTATTGTTTGTTTTAACTTTTAACCTCTGTTTGATTTGGAAATGCTGGCCGGATTTTTTTAATATTTTGGGTTTAAGGTAAAGAAAGATTGTTAGATTTATTAGAAATAGCTTTTATTGTCCTGCAAAGAAAAAATTCAGGTGTTAACTTCTCTAAACCTCAGAAACATTTGCCATCAGCAGAGCTGGCAGTGAACATGCCTTATGTTATCAGCTTGGACAGACAGTTTATCAGTTTCTCGACTGTTAAAGGGGTTGAAGATGGAAAATCTCTGGTTGTGTTTAGTTTCTCCATTTGATGAACCAAAATATTCAGCGAGCTTGCATTGGTGTTTCCCAGCCAGAAGGCCTGAATGAACAAAGAGGTCAAAGAACTGCTGAGGGAGAGACCCAATGCTCCATCCCACCATGCTTTAAAGTCTTCCATCATCCTTCTTCCAAAAACGAACATTAGCAGTCTCAATGACTACCGGCCAGTGGCACCAACCCCCATTATCATGCAGTGCTTTTGAGAAACAGGTTCAGAGTCATATCACTTCACGTCTGCCATCCACACTAGACCCCCACCAGTTTATATACAGAACCAACTGCTCTACAGACGATGCCATCATTTCCGCTCTGCACGCCACATTGACACACGTGGAACAGTAAAGGAGCTGTGTTAGGCTGCTCTTCCTGGACTTCAGCTCGACTTTTGAGACCTTTAGTCCGAGCAGACTGATGAGGAAACTGGTGAACCCGGATCTTCTCCACAACATCTGCTGCTGGATCATGGACTTCCTGACAGACAGCTCCCAGAGGATGAGAGTAGGATCCCACCAGCCCTAAGCAATGAGCACCGGCACCAGCTCTCAACAAGACTGTGTGCTAAGCTCCCTACTATGTACCCTCTACAATTATGACTGTAGCTCCACCCACCCAAACAACACCGTCATGAAGTTTGCTGATGATACCACTGTGGTGGAGCTTATATCTAGAGGAGATGAGGCTGCATACAGACTGGAGGTGGAACTGGAGCATTTATTTATTTATTTATTCTTAACATCTTAGTTGTTCAGGATGTTTCTTGGAGAATTGCTGTTTTTTTTTTATTTCGTTGTGATTTATTTGTGTAGAATGACATTAAGAGGAATTCTGATTCTGATTCTTTAGCTAGGCTAAATCACTCCTAGGCTAGCAACTCTTTAACTATTGTTTGCAGCTCCATTTGTTTTGTTCTTTTACTGCAGCTTTTGAGGATAGAGTTAGCTAATGTTCCGTTTGAATTAGTTTCAATTTCTGTATTTTATCATGTTTCATTAATACTTTCCTTTGATGTTCTATGAGTAACTTTGGATTAACTTGTGTATAGTCCTAAGACAATCATGATGAACCAACTATTAAAATAATCGTCAACTATTTTATTAATTGAGTAATGGTTAGCTGGAGAGTACAGACTCAAAACAAGGCCATTTGCTGAACAAATATCCTTTTAATTACTACTGAACTCAGAGCAGTAATTAAACCTAAGCTTTACAAAAATGTATACATTTTTCATTATGATAAAAAAGTGCTCTGTTTTCGTCCCGAAACTCTTCATGTAACAAGTTTTAGCTTCACCTGGTTCAAATTCTTGAAAACAAAAACAAAAAAACTCCTATTATGCACCTTTCACTATTCAATTATCAAATGATTAATCTAAGAACTAGTCAACAGATCAACCCTACACTGTATTGATAATCAGCCAACAGAAAGGCCTGAGCTTTTCACATGTTGATGCTAAAAGTGTTCTTTTAGTTGTAGATCCATTCTTTGCTCCAAATGATCAAGTGTTCACTAAAGGATTAATGTTATTGCATTTTAGGTAATAAAATGTTTATTTTATTGTCTTAAAAATGATTTATTTGTTTATTTGCATCTTTTAGTGTATTTCTAATATTGCATAGACAAGGCTGAAGTGGTTAATTGATAAATCTGCAGAATGTGCCAATTTGTTTATCTGATCAGTAGAATAATGATTAATTAGCCCTACTTGTGTATAAATATACTTCATAAATAAAGTTACCTTTTCTTGATTGCTTATTGGCTGTCCTATAAATAGCTAAATTTTGCTATCATCACCTAATTTGCATAAATTGCCATATACATAGAGCCTTTATTGAATGCTAACATGAATAATATTGTGGCTGAAACAAAGTGAATAAAAGAAGCTAAATATGTTTAGGAATACTTGTGGAATTTATTCAATGGATCCCAGTGATTTTTAGTTTTTGTTTTTTCATTCCATCATTCCAACCAACCTTCTTTTTCTGTCTTTGGATTGGAGAATCAAAAAAGAAACTCCGGTTGAGTTCCTTAGTTTTCATTTATTTGATTATTGAGGTTAGTTTATGAAACCAGGTGAGATCAGTAATGAATAGAATGACCCAGCAGCACCACCTTAGCCTGAATGTTTTTTTTTGCTGGTAGGATCTCTCACTAATCCCTCCTTTGAAAAAGATTGGCCAACGCCAAACAAGATGGTGTCTTATTTTATATTTTGTTGGCTCTAGTAGCCTTTATTTGAAAGTAGGTCAACAGGAAAGAGGGGGAAGACATGCAGCAAGTGTCACCAGGCCAGGAATCAAACCTGCAACCACTGCCATGAGGACTAAGGCCTCAATATGCGGGTCGTGCTTTGCTCCTGCACCACCACAACACCACAAGATGGTGTCTTGATGCCATCTTGTGGCAGCAGCAGCATATGTTGCCTCCATCTGTGGAAGTGAACTTTTAAGCCAACTTTTAAGTCGTCTTTAAGGAATAAGAATTTTCACACTGAAGAGGTGCTGCTTGTTGATAGCAGTGCAACTGATTAGTCCTTAGTTGGAAAACAATGAGTAAAATAAGTATGTAAAATTTAGAAAATGTATCACAAGCTCATGTGCTTTCTGACATGCCGATATGTTTTCCACTTTACCCTGTCAGGAAGAGCTTATATCCTGTCTACAGAAACACCATTGTTTCACCAGCTTCCTGCTTCCTAAACTCAGTTTTCTTTTCGAAGATATGGCATTTTGTAAAGGGCCAGGAGTGATAGATGACTTATTTCACTGTTGACTTTACCTGCTGCTTCTTATTGATGAAACTTCTTCAGGGTCTAGATCTTTCTGGAGCAAACTTTCTATTCTGGGCTTTATGTCCATCTATCTGTCCAGCTGTTTGCTGCCCAAGTTCAGAACTTGATCTGAATGTGCATGTCTGTGTGATTCAGGGGAGCTCCCTCAGGCCTCAGGGTCCTCCTCTGCCAAGCAGCGGTCACCCAGCTTCTGAAGGACGACCTGTCTCCGTTTCACTGTCCACCGGAAGCTCAGGCATACCTGGAAGATGAGGAAAAAGTTGTCTGTAAGTTGTTTTTTTAGTTGCCTGTTATATGTAGCAAAAATAAGAATGGGGTATTATTTTAGGACTGAAGCAATTAGTCAGATTAATCATTGTCTGACTGTAATATAAAGACTCAAAAAATAAATGCCATTTGGTGAAAGAACAACATACTCAGGGCAGTAAGTAAATCAAAACTACACGAAAGGTATATACATTTGGTTTTAAGATGAAAAACCCTACTTGCATGTAAATGTGTTCTATCCAAAACCTCCCAATTGGAATTGTTTGATTTACGTGGTTCAAATTGTGTAAAAAAACGATCTCCTATTAAGCATCTTTTACTTTCCAATTATGAGCCGGTAATTAATGACCAGATCAGTCCCACAATGTAAGTCGAGTTGATGTTAAGTTGAGCAGAAAGGCCTGAGCTTTCACATGTCAATATTGGAAGATTTTTTTTTAGCTGGAGATGCATCCCTTGATACAAAAGGTGAAGAATTCACATTGTTTTTATTTATTTATTTTAGGTTGGAAAATGTTTATTGTCTTATTTAAAAAAAAAATTCAATTATTTGTTTATTTGCATTTCTAATACTGTATGAAAAGACTTGTTTGGGTAAATGAAAAATCTGCAGTCAAATTTTTTTATCTGATTACTCGATTAATCTACATAACAATTGATAGGATAATCAATTACTAATATATTTGTTTGCTGCTATTTATTCAAATTTTTATTTTTGGCTCTGCGCTACTTCCAGTGCTCGAGTCGGAAGCAGTCCAGCGGCTCTTCCTGAACCATCTGATAGGTGTAGCACTCAGATGGAACCAGGAGCTCCCTTCCTCCCTGCCTCCTCCCAGCTTTCAGTGTTCTGTTCATGCTATCAAGAACACAAGGAGGAAGATGGAGGACAAGCATGTGGCGCTGACTGAATTCAACCAGCTCTTTGGCATTCAGGTAAACACCCTGAAAAGTAAACACTGCTTTGCCAGTGTTCTCCATTGTCACTCAGCTTGGCTGTGATCCTGATCTAGGATGGAGTAGAGCGGGCCTACTACGCTGTGTTCGACGGTCACGGGGGAGTGGATGCTGCCATTTACGCTGCCACTCATCTCCATGTTACTCTGAGCAAACAGGAGACACTGCAGAGTAACACCAGCATGGCTTTTAAAACTGCCTTCAAGAAAACAGACAACATGTTCAGACACAAAGCCAAGAGAGAGGTATAGTGATGTTCTACAAGCTGTTGTTTTCTCTCCATGAACCACACTGTATGCTTCAGATGAATCTATATGTGGAGTTTTGTGTCAACAGCGTCTGCGGAGTGGGAGCACAGGAGTGGCCGTGCTGATTCATGGCCAGCAGTTGACCGTGGCTTGGCTCGGAGACTCTCAGGCAATGTTGGTTAGAAAAGGACAGGTTGTCACACTCATGGACCCCCACAAACCAGAGAGAGAGGTACTTGTTCTACTAATTCTTCCTGCTTTGTTTCCTGCTCTGCCAACAACAAATGACACTGGTACAATAGAATGGAATAGAATATACTTTATTGTTCCCTGTGAGAAATTTTTAGTGGACTCAAGGGTGTGCACTGAATAGTTGCTGCTGCTCAAACTAACAATAACATGCAACACATATAAACAGCTAAAAACGTAGACTACACACAGATCGAAAACAACAACAGATTACCCAGGTTACTGCACACCTTTCATACTATTTAAAATTTTGATTAAAATTTAAATAGTAATGATGTACCGAAGAGAATTTTAAAAAACTGAGTTTATTTTTTGGGGATTATGTACCTTCTTCAAGAAGACAACAGCTCATATTCCAAATATGGGATGTGGGACAGATCCAACAATGATGTCTGAGACAAAGTCACTGACACTATCTCAGCCTGTTTCTGGTTGTCATATAGTTAAATAACACTGAATCAGTCAGGTTTTAAATTTGAAACAATTAGGAATTTATTTTTCACTCTTCCTAACAACAGTGACCTTAGAAGTCTTTGAATTCCTCTCACATTTTCACTGAGACATGTGTTTTATACACAAACACAGAGCATGTAGTTCCACATCTAAACAACATTTATTAGATTTATGAATATATTGGTTATTAAATCCCCTTTTTGAGGTGTTGAGGTAGGAAAGTTATCATTCAGAAGTGGGTCCTGGATGCCTGGTCCAAGTCCCCTTTAAACTACCACTAGCACTTTAAGCTAAGTGCTAGTTTAAAAGGACAGAAATGTGTAGAAAATCATCTGTGATTCTGTTGTTTAGATAATAACGACCATTAGGGTCAGACCAGACAGGACTTCAGCTGATAACTGGCCAGTTTATCTGTCTCTGCCTCCTCACACCAGCAGGCGCACAAAGAAGATGGCTCCCTCAGTGTAGATTGTTCTGAATGGTGCCCAGACGATGTATGTTGATAATGATGTAGTATTTAATTGGAACATCCACCAATTATGGCATGCTATGGATTATTCTATGTATGAATCTGTTTAGGGCAGGAAATGGTTATGGAACCAACAATTATGTGTAACTCTTGAGTGTTAGAACTTTGCCTTTTCTGGCCTGGAATTGGTCACTGCTGGAACCTGTTCTACCTGCCTTGGCGTCCCTAATATCTGGAGAAGAATCAGTCAACATGCATCTCCTTAGTCAAAACCGAGATGCAAAGTTTTTGAAACATTCACAGGAGACAATTGTTACTTTCAGATGTCAGCTATGCTAACTTTTGATTCACCACATTTTAATAGATATGACTCCACTATTTAGCTTTTAATTTTGTTTGTGTATTTAATAATAATAATAATAATATCTCCTTTAGCAGGACTCGTGTGCCACATGAAGCTACCAAAGGTCAACACAATTAACCTTCCATTTAAAAAGAACATTAAATCTAGACTAAAACCCCACCTGTTTGGAATTGTTTGAAACATCAGAAACATTATCAACAGTCTGATGTGTAACAATGGCACTTGACAAAATGTAATGTTTCAATTGCAATTGTGTTCTATGACTTTGTATTTTGTGTTTTTATGATGTAAAGAACCTTAAACTGCCTTGTTGCTGAAATACACTATACAAATAAACTAGAGTTGACATAACTTGACAAAGATTCTACCAGCTCATTCTCAAAACAAAACATCATCATTAAATTAAGTTGGTGGTTTCTCTGTAATCTTATTAAACAAAATAACTTGCAATGTTTAGTATTTTCATCATGAGGAAAACACAATTTGATTATTGAGGTGTTTGCTCCTGAATAAAGTAAAGACGCCATTCAAGCCTCATTGAATGGCGTCATTTTCTCATTATTTTTTTTGAACTGTTTGGGATCAAAGCACATTACTGCTGATCCAGCAGTAATCAGGAGTCAGATGTTCATGTTATTTTTGTTCTCTGTTTTACAGGATGAAAAACAGAGAATAGAAGATCTTGGGGGTTGTATCACCTTCATGGGTTGCTGGCGAGTTAATGGCACCTATGCTGTCTCCAGAGCCATTGGTAAGACATCCTCAACCAACCAGAACGGAGAACACGGAATTGTGCCAAGCTACAATACACTTAGAAAAAGCTTTAGCTATGGTTGTGACTATGTTGTTGAAAATGTACCCTTTGCAATATTTAATATTTTTATCTAGTTGCATATTTTTATTCATTAGGAACCTTATAACTAAAAGTCAATTTTTATTTGATAGGTGATAAAAAGAATCAAAATCATTAAGTAGGTAAAACTTGCTGTTCTCCTGCAGCTACATGTTAGTGAGAACACTGATGTCTGAAATGAAGGCCTTTTTTAAACAAGCAGGCCTAAATACCAAGTTGAAAACTTGCCAAAGGTAGAAAACCAAAGCATCCTTGCATCTCATGAACAGATTTTACAGAGACTCTGAAACTCCTGAGCCCAAAAATACTTCCACCATCATTCATTCAGTTACCTTAGAAAGGGACAGGTTGTCCTACTCATGGACTCTCCTCTTGGCTCTGATTGGTTGTTTTTTCCACACTGTTTTTTGTGATTTGTTGAACATAAAGATAATAAGAAATCTTGATGAATGAACTACTCACGAGTCCTCAAATGAGACCTAGAAAAGTACAGCAACAAAACTTTTTCAATGTAGCTGCACCACTGGCACAAAAGTTAACCCAGTTTTTCCTGACGGTTTGTATCTGGTTTGGTGGATTGATGCAGCCGGAAACCTCAGCTAACTGAGCTTCACACAGGAATACAGACATTACTCAGCTTAACATGCAGCAGCAACGCTCTGCTGTGAAATTGTAGACTGTTAATCTCTGTTAGCATAGTGTTAAATCCCAATGATCTGAAATTTGTCATCTTGAGTTGTTTTAAAAGTCAGATTAAACAGATGATGTGTTGGCTTTCACCACTCTGAAAAAGGATTTTCTTTCCAACATGCTCGCAGTAAAATGACATTTTTTACATCAGGTAGAACAGTTGCTAATAATGACGTCACAGAATCTCACAGCAAAAAGTCTGAACTATCCTTTAACTTTCTATTTAGAGTCAAGTCTTAATCTGAGATATAAACAACAAACTTGCTATTTAAGATGTAAAACTATGTATATTTTTATAAGTATTCCTCTTTAACAATTTGGGACTTGGGCAGTTCAGACAAAAATAATTTCATTAACTTCAGACAGAAATAACTTCAAATTAAACAGCAACTGAAGTGTTAAAGTGGAGTGAACAACACCTTCAAACGATTAACCATGCATTAATTCTAAAACCTTTAATAATAACCAGGAGGTGGCACTGCTGAGCTTTTCCAGCCTCAGAATGAACTGCTCCAGTTTTCTTTGCTGAAGAAGCCTGAAGAGGCTCTGTGTGGGAAACAAAGTGAGCAACTGAAAGCTTCCTCAGTGAAGAGGCTTTTCTGTCTGCCTGATCTGCTGTGAGTTTGCTCCGACCTGCTAATCCCATTCACATCCCTAAATCCAGGCGACTTCGACCAGAAGCCGTATGTGTCTGGGGACGCTGATTCTTCAACCATCCAGCTGTCAGGGGACGAGGACTATGTGCTGCTGGCGTGTGATGGCTTCTTTGATGCCATCAAACCTTCCGAGGTCCCAGATCTGGTTGCTGAGGCGCTCCGGGGTGCTGATGACTCTGAGACTGGAGGGAGTCTTCCACCAGAACACGCTGAAGATGGAGTGGGACACAGAGTTGCTGAGAGATTGGTAGGTGATGCCAAGGCGGCAGGGTCCAGCGATAACATCACAGTGATGGTGGTGTTCCTGCGTCCGCCTGGCCAGCTGCTGGCTAACTCATAAACCCAGCTGCATCCAGAGGAAAGGAACCATGCAGCTCGCCTCAGGACACACTCAGCCCTCTACAGGCAGCCAGACTAACCCAGAATCCTCACATCTGACATATCCACAGCTAATATCTGTGCTAGACTGGCACATGACTTGGCTTTTTACTCAAGAAATCATGCAAATTCAATGTTATATGAACTTATGTGCACTCTAAGTGGAAATTATTGTTGATATCAAAATATACACAGTCCTGTGGAATTGACAGTGTTTTACATTTACATCAACACATATATAAAAAATAATGATAACTGTTTCCACCACTATTAGACATACATACTGTACAATTCAATGGTAAACATGCATCAGTTAGTGGAGAAATCTTCAGTAGCTTGGTTGTAAGTGTGCACCTTGTTAAACTAAATGTTTGTTTTGTGCACTTTTTGATCCACCAAACACTGATGAACCTGATGCAGCTCAGCTGTCCTAGCAGGAGTGTCCTGACATTTGCGTCATTTACCTGAAGCTCCCTACTGGAGCTGTATGTTGTGACTTCAGCTGTCTTTTGAATTTTCCATGGACAGAGAGCATCACCAAAAGAACACCAGTGAAGCATGGAGGTGGCAGCATCATACTGTGGGGCTGCTTTTCTTTAGATGGCAGAGGGATTTTTGAAAAGGTGACTGATCAAGTTAGCAGTCAACCTTTACCCAAAAACTTCAGGTCTCTGCTGCCAAGATTTCCCGCTGTGAGTCCAAGATCCAGATCAACTGAAGTGTAAACTATCAGACACAGAACGTTTTGGATCTGACGGAGTTCAGATCCAGGCTGTCAGGGTAAATACTGCTAAGTGAAGATGTGGCTGCTGTAGAGACTCCTACTGCAGACTGGATGATGCGGTAGGAGTCGTCCTACCGCATCATCTGTTGGATTAAAAGAATTAGGTCAGCGTGTGTCCACTTATGTTAGGTTATTTGTCCTTTTTTAAGTTTTATATTCCCCCCACTCCCATCCCTGTCCCCACCAAAATAACATTTGCATTATAGAGGCCTTATGTCACATTGAAGATGTAAAAGGTTTTGAAACAATTTATCATGGTTTCATTTTGATATTTTAACTTTTTAACAGGAGCGTATAAACTTTTGAGAGTCACAGTTGTTAACTTTGCCGGGTGATGTGTGTATTGTGTGTTGTATATAGGGATATTGGTGCTAATAGTCCCATAAATCAAACCCAGATAATTAAAAGCCATCCCAGCCTGAAAGATGGACTGGTCATCAGGTTGTCGCTGGACAACACAGACAAAGAAACATACACACATTCCCATGCAAGCACACACACACACACACACACACACACACACCCCCACACCCCCACCCACCCACCTGAGGAAAGTTGAGAGTGTTTTGTGTTTAGACATTGGGAGGAACCTGGAGTACCCAGTGAGAACATGTATGCACAGGGAGACCATGCCGACCCACTGCAGACAGGTCAGTAGGGACCAACACACTCCCAACTTAACTGTCAGGGTCTGTCCCGATGGCCGCGTCCCGCCTGCTGCCTGCCGACTGGGCTGTCAGGGTCCAACTAGGCTTTTAGGGACAGACTCCGTCTTCAGGGTCCAACTCGCCGCTGGGACCCAACTCCACCTTCAGAGTCCGACTCCTTCATTGACTCGGCCGTCCGGTCCTGACTCGGCCTAGAGGTTCCAAACTAACTGGGCCAAAGAAACCGCTTTGGCCTGGTTGGTTCTGGATGCAGAGTCTGCTGGTGTTAACCAGCCCCCTGCTGGAGTCCTTCAGGTCCTTACCTGATCTGTTCTGATCTGATCTGCTCTGACCAGATCTGGTGATGATATGACCAGTACCTGTTGGCAGACCCAAGTGCCAACAGGTACTTAATATCTGTACCTGTTGGCTAACTACCCGTTGGCATAGAAATGTTGCTAACATATCTGTTACTAACAGTGCTGCTTCCTGTCTGACTCCAGTGAGTCAGACAGGAAGCAGCACTGACCTCTGAATGTCCTGTGGACTCTCACTGGAGGCGCTGAGCGGTCCAGCTCACACACATCTCACTCTCTTCAGGGACTTTCCAAACAGGAAGTCCCATTTGTTCAGTCTGAGCATGTCAGAGGATGCATGCATGTGTGTGTCCATGTGATTTCTCTTTAAGAAATGTGATGCCAGCAGCTAATGGTTGGTCCAAAGCCAACATGCTTAGGCTTGATCAGTATTTCAGTTTGCTGCTGTTTGCAAAACTGGCAGAATTAGCAGAGACTTCCTGCTTTGACAGGCCCACACAGGCATGTTGGGCCTGCAGCCACACTTATATACAACACATAAACATTTAACCTACATAACCCTCAGCCAACTTTATCAGATTTAATATATTGATTTATTTAGAGGAGGTTAAGTTACAGTTTAGAAAGTTTTATTTTACCAAGGCTTAGTTATACTGTGGTGGTGAGACTGTTACATTTTTAATCTGAATGCTTTTCAGACTTCATCTACTTAATCTTTTCTGTTGGTGTTGTCAGTGTTGAGGGCTACTTCTTGATGGATTTGTATGTTTTGGAGGTGAATAAACTAAAAGTCTCATGTGCCACATAGATCAGTTGGAACCTCTTTCAGATCAGAGTTGCTAGATTACAGATTGAAATTATGACCTGAAAGGGGCTACAGTTGTGAGGAATGCTCAACTTTTTTAACCATCGTGTAAAAGATGGCCAGACTCCAAACTGTGTTCTGAGACAAAGTATTAAATGCGTCTTTTATCTACTAAGAAAATGCTGATGTTAAGCATGTTGGATTGTGTACTGATTCTCATTCTGTTGGTATTCTAATCTAATATTTACTCCTGTTTGATGATTCTTTTATAAAAAAATGAATGATTTTTAGAAATGGTTCTGAACCATATCCAACTGGATGTGATGTCAGAATCTCATTGTACTCTCTTACACTGTGGATTACTGACATGGTTGGCTTTGCAGTTTTGTATTCACTAATGACTAAATAAAAGACTCCAAACAAGACATTCATCAGTTTTATATCTGGCTGCTGTTCTCACTTTGTGTGACTAGAACTTCAATCTCTCTGACACTGCTTGACTGGGAGTATAATGGTGTAAAGTTTCCTCAGTTAAAATAAACTCAGTTAAGTTAAATAAAAATCCCTTTTTTTACCCTTATAAGTTTTTTTTGTCCATTTGGCAGGAATTTTAGAGAATCTCATTGTCAGTCAACTTTATAATACATGCCTAGATATGGGCATGTAAAGAGACAGGAATATCAGTTGTACAGTGTAATTTATGCAAAACTATATGAAAGATTTATGTTATATTTCCTCTTATCTGACATGTCTGATAAAACTATTTAGCTCTTCCTTGCAAACAGAGCAAAGCAGTCAGCTGATTAAGATAAAATATATTTTGCTCCTAGAAAAATACTAAGGGGACTTGTGAAAAAAACATTTCAGTCTTCTTCCTTCAACATGTAATTTACCTTTTGAAAGAATTTCAGAAGCTTGTGCCATATGGCTATTTGAAGTGGTTGACTGAAGTTGCTTTGTTTTACTTTTTATTTTAATCCAAAATAACAGCAGGTTGTTGTTTTATTATCAGGTGGTGAAAGTGTCAGAGCCATAAGAAAAATTGACACAACTGTTTTGCTTTTTCACTGAGTTCATCTTACTTTCTGTTCTCGTTTTTCCTCCAGCAGATGTGTTTCCAAGAAACTGTGAGGGTGGGGTTGAGGGGGGTATGACAGAAACGGCAAAACATAAATGTGTCAATGTTTATTTAGCCAAAGCTAGGTCTGAAGTTCATACTGCTATTGAAAAAGAGAGAAAGTAATTATTTATTTAATTAATAAGCATTAACATTCATGAACTATTTTACAAATGCTGCAGTTTTGTCAGGTTGCAGCTGTGGTATTCAGGTGTGCTAAGACGATGTCAGAACCTCAGCAGTTACCTTTGAAAAGAAACTGTTGTTTCCCATGAACCTGGGAAGGAGTTTTTCTCATTCTGGATTTAAAGGAGTTTACTGATGCAGCGCCATCTACTGACAGACTGATGCATCCTTCCAGCAGCTTTTAGACTTTATGACCAACTACACTCTACATTTTCTACCATACTCTTTGTATTTCATTGTTTTTATGTGCAATTATTCAGGTAGATTTTGTACTTTTTAGAAATTATTTAGCATGAAGACTCAGAAAAGGATCCTTGTTGGACACCTGTCTAATAACTACATTTTTTTCTTATGCTGTATATTTGCCCTTATGTTACAGTCTTTTAATTCTTATTTTTGTTGTCTTGGTTGAAAATTCATGACTGGTTGCTGCTGATCAGAGGTTGGTAGACTACTCAAAAGTTCTACTCAACTAAGAGTAGCACTATTTCAACATACGTTTACTCAAGTAAAGGTAAAAAGTGTCTGTCCAAGAAATTACTTAGTTACTGTATAACTGATCATAATATCTGATTAGTATTTGAAAATGATGGATCCGGACAGACAGAAAAATATATTTATTTGTACATTCTGATATTTTAAAGACTGAAATCCAAAAATAATACAAATAATTATAAAATAAATTCAGGAATGCTTCTACAAGTCAATTTTTAAACATAAAACTCAAGAAACCAATACTTACAGTAAGTAATGTGTATAAACAGTACGCGCAATGTATGTCTTGTGGCATCTGCTGTTACTGCATGTTCACTGGACCTCGAATGCCTCAGCAAATAGATCATTGATCTAATTATAAGCTGCATTGCTTTGATCTCAGTGTGACATTCTGCTCTCCGTCACTTCTTAAAAACGATAACATTTCAATTAAAGCTGCAAGTAGCATTGGAGGCCTTGCAGCTCAGTTCCACTCCAGCTGAAAACACATTCAACATGAGGAGTGCAAAAAGAGTTGACACAAAAAGTATGAGGTTGTTTTTATTTCCCATAGTAGAAAACTAATTTCTAAAAGCTGTAGAGTATATAAAAACTATACAGTTGTATTTTACATTCAAAGTATATAAAGACTTTTTAACAAGGAATAATAAAGTATACAGAAGGTAAAGAAACTGGCCATCATGATCACTGGGTATTTTCTACATTTGCTGCATTTAGAGTGGTGTTATTGTGAAACAGAAAAGCACAGTTGGTGCTCGGCACCTTCAGCTTTCAGAACTGAGTTCTACAGTCTGGATGTCGCCTGCTGTGTTGAGCCTGAAGTGGAAGTGTGAGCTGGAACCATCGTTGTGTACACAGCTCCAGTTTTTCTGGATCTGAAACAAAGACCAGACTGTTAGGACGACACAGCAGATTTCTGAAACATACCCCATTGAATAATTTCACAGAATCTCCTCAGAGATGAAGCATTTCACTTGATCTTACCTGTTCTTCAGATTCAAGATAAGCTGTCCAATTCGTGACTTTGGATCCACACACTTTTCCTTGTTTGCCAGTGTAACACTAGAGGAAAGAAAAAAACAACAAAGGACCCACATTAGGGATGAACAGTGCAGAGTGGGTTTACCCAAGCTTTGCATCACTCAGAAAGTAAAACAGAACTTACATGATCTCAGTGCGGGGGCAGAAGGTACTTGGGTGGTAAACAACAGGCTCTGTGAGGATGCTCTGCAGTCGGACCCTGTTCAGGAAGCTGCTGGAACACTTGCATTTATTGGACCTGTTGGCTGGCTGAGCTGTGGAAGAAAGGAAGAAGCATGGTCTCATTACATCCTGATCTTCTGTCAGTCAGAAAAACAAAGAACCCAAAAGTGTGACATTTCATACATGCAAGCTATCCTTTTTCCCACCACACACTTACTCAATTATTCTAAAAAAAACTCAAAGTACCTTGAGCACAGAGGAGAAACAGGCAGGCCACAAATCCAATCACAGCGGATTTCATCTTGTGGGTCTAGAAGCTTCAGGGTCAGCCTCAGCGTCTGTCTTTGGTTTGAGCTGCTGATGCTCTGATGCAGCAGGCAGTCCTGTTTTATAGCAGCATTGCCACTATGAGCACTGCTGTACAACGTGATGCAACAGTTTCACTTTCCTCTTTTGGGTTTCACTTTCTTTGTCTCTTCCTTTTTCATTTACAAAGTCTGTTTCCAAGAACTGCACCTTCCTTTCAAACTCTGATGTGAATCTCTTTTGCCTACACAATGACTCTTTGGTTAGACATACAATTTACCAACAAAGCAAAGGCTGTGTCTAAAGCCTTTAGCTTAAAAATCAGTAAGTCACTGAGATTAATAACACTTCACAAACCTACTGAGATTTGAGATCAGCTTAAACTGTTTGCATCATCATTAAGAGCTGTTGAGGGAGCAGGAGCTGCAGCTATGAAGCAAATTAAACTCAAAAATAAAGTTTCTCCATAGATGCATTACTGTAATTAGTTTCCACATGGGAAGGTTTAAGTCATCCATGACATGCATCTATTGTCAGTAATTTTTTATCCTTGCACAACAAAATTTAAACTGCATGTTCAAAAAGCTGTAAGATATGTCAAAGTACTATAATGCTTCTTTGCAATTCTGTCCAAAGAAATTGTACGATTAAAATAGTTTGTATATAGTGAGCTGGAGAATACAGTCACCCCAAAGTCACATTTTGTTGTTTATGCAGATCACAAAGCAAAACAGGACTGTGACAGCTGACCCTACTGTCACACAGACCTGAATGGTGATCATTTTGTTTGTTTATCCTTTACATTAATTTAGACATTAATTGGTGAATAGTTTAGATTTTTATTAAAAATGATTTTCATTAGTCTGACCTTTTAGTTAACTATTTGCAGTGCACACATTTAGTTAACTTTATTTGTCAGTTCTTTATATTTTTGTTAAAAGCAACAAATTAATTTATTTGTTTTGAGTGACCAGTTTCCTGTGGAGCTGCTGCTGGAGGGTCACAGAAAAGCTCCAGCTGATTGACATCCATACATGGCTGGCAAAACCTCCTCAGCGGGCCATTCCATTTGTTTGCCAGGGGACGGGGTAATTTGGCTTTCTTTGATTTAATTTAACCATTTCGTTAATGTTTCTTCTATTTGGTAGTTTCAGTCTAATGTTTGTTTAATTTAAAGATTTGGTATTGTATTGATTAGTATTTGTTTAAGTTCTTGTATGTCAGCAGTGGTCTGATCAGCCACTATTTAAGTTCCCCTCATGTCTTGTTAGGTCAGTTTTGTGCTTGAGTTCTTTGTGTTAACACCTGAGTTGTAGTTTGTTATGTTGACCTCAGTTTTGGGCCCAATTCTTCATTGTTTGATTATTTTTGAACTTTAAATTAAGATTATTTTTGAATTCCATTCAGCGTCTCTCTGGCTGGTTAATGTGAGAACCCTCACAGTTGGTGTCAGAAGTGGGATCTTACTAGCCAGGAGGACAAAGTTCCCCCCCCCCCATTACCAACCCTGATGATTGAAACATGCAGCGTGGAGGAAGGAGTAAACAAGACAATTTGGTGGAGTCTCAAGGAACAGCAGACCTTGATGAGCAGGCTGATTGCACTGAAGCAGGAGCATCTGGAGGACATGTAGGCACTGAGGGTGAAGAGGTAAAAGAACCAACATATACAGATCTTGTCAGTATTCTTCGTGCCCACATGAGCCAGCAGGAGGAACAGAATAGAACGATGAGAGAGGAAGCAGCTCGCCAAGATCAACGGTTCAGATCTCTCTTTTGCAATCAGAAGTGCAGGCCCAAACTTCTCCAACACCTGAACCTGCTAAGCTGGAAAACTCTGATTCAGACGAACCAGAACCACAGGATAAATATCTGCTGCCAGGGGACCGCAAAGTCATCTCCACTTCAGGTCAGTTTCGTTCCTTCTTGGAGCCTAAATTAGAAAAATTAACAGAAACTGATATTGAACATTTTTTAATTACTTTTGAGAGGATTGCAGTTTCATGTAACTGGCCAGAGAATGACTGGGTCTTCCGTCTGGTTCCATTGCTCACTGGTAAAGCCAGAAGCGCTTATGTGCATATGGACATTGATGAAGTGGATGATTATACATCTGTTAAAGAGGCAATTCTTAAGAAATATGACATTAATCCAGAAACCTATTGCCAGAGATTTCGTTCTACAGAAGTGGAGCCTGGAGAAACTCCCAAGGAGCTGTATGTAAGGTTAAAAGAGTTGTATGAAAAATGGATCCAACCTAGAGGTAAAACGGTGAAAGCCATTGGTGAAGTTATTGTTTTGGAGCAATATCTCCGTATGCTGTCTCCTGAGCTTCAGGTTTGGGTCCGGGAACATGATCCTCCAACAGTTTCCAAAGCTGCTTCACTGGCTGAGGTGTTTGTGGCTGCAAGACAAAAGAGGAGTTGCTCCTCTTGGAAGGCAGCTAAAGACACACGCGGAGCTGCACCTGTACAACACCACCAAAAGGGTGTATCTGCTGTGGGTAAGGCCTTCCTAAGGGAAAATCAGTCAGTAAGCACAACACCCAAGCAATATAATAAAGTGCCTGTTTGTTACTTGTGTGGTCAGGAAGGCCATACAAAACCCATGTGTCCAAAAAACCCTCCCAAACTCACTCAGCTGTGTGTTGTCCCACTTAAGTGACAATTGCATCAGTGTTGGAAAAGTCTGAAGCTGAGTGATGTTAAAGTTAATGGGAAAAGTGTGAAGGCCTTAATTGACACTGGGAGTGTTCAGACTCTTGTTGAAAGAGAGCTGGTTCCATCTAATATAATTTGTACATCTGACACAATCCCTATCCGATGTGTGCATGGTGATGAAAGGCCATACCCCACAGCGGATATTTATATTGAAGTGCAAGGACAACTATACCTACTGAATGTTGATGTTGCAGAAAATCTCCCTTTTCCAGTAGTGATTTACCTGTTTTGTTTGATTTGCTACATAAACCACAGAACTGCAATGTAGTGACTCATTCTCAAGCAAAACAGCCAGAAGAGTCTTTTTAAACTGCATGTTCAAAAAGCTGTAAGATGTCAAAGTACTATAATGCTTTTTTGCAATTCACAAGGACTTTCTACAGAGGATGTGACGAAAATGAACATGTGTGGTTAATTTCTACTCAGGTTTGCAATAAATGCAAAATTTATCATACAAGTGACTTATACATGTTAAGTTTTATATTTAGAAAAAACAACTAAAAAGAATAACTTTTTCAATGTCGGCACAAATCTGGCTCTACTCCACATTCCAAACACCAAAATGTTTGTTGTCATCCCTCACTGTGAATTCTGTAGAGTGTTTTACAGAAATAGGATGTGAAACTAAAAGTAAACGGAGGAGGGAAAACACCACCCGCAGTGTTAATCCTGTAAGCCTTTAGAGGGCAGAGTTCATTCTTTGTCTATAAACTCCTCATTTAGGAGAAATGGAACAAGTAGCAATCAGAAATCAGGCTGGGAAAAAAAAATCATCATTCAGCAGTTTTATTGATAAAACATGAATTGTCAAGAATAAAGTTTACTGTTTGTATTGTGTCTTAGAAATGGGCCATTGTGTTAATGCACCCAGCAGTTTTTGTTGAGGCTATATTTATGTCCCAATTTGAGGAAAAAAACTGTTTGGAAGAAGCAGTATTTATAATGCCCTTTAAATCTCAAATGGGAATTTCAAAGGGCATATTCACACGCTAATGATGGAAGCTACTGATTTGCAGCTACAGCTGGCACTTCTGACCAACAGCCCAAGTTTTATCACTACCACCATATTCAACAGATCTCATCTACTTTAGACTTTTGGCTTTTTTTTTTTTTTTTTCTCTGTCCCCACACTGTCATCTGTCCACCACTTTGATGTTGGTCTTTCCTTTGTCTGTCCAGAACACTTTTTTGTCCCAGAATTTTGTGGGATTCTTGTATAATGTTTTTCATAAAATGTATACTGACCCTTTTGGGACTAACTAGAGGTTTTGTTTGTTTCTTTATTTATTTTTTATTTTTTTGCAGCTTTCTGTTTCTGAAGTTCAATGAATACTTCGACAAAGATGCGCTGTTATTACAGCGCTCAGCAGTGTATTCCTTCTTCTTTATGATGTTTAAGATGGGATTTTTTTAAGTCTAATGATGATTTTTGTGCTTTTTAGTCTCAAATAACTTTTATAAACGTTAGTAGTCTACCCATTCTCAAAAACGGAGCAATTTTTAGAAAATGCCAAAGTAGCTAATCTAGTAACACAGTAAAACACCTCACTACTAAAGAACAATCAGGAAGCCAGTGTTCACAAACATTAAGGTGTACTGAATTGAACATATCTAAAATGGTAGTAAACAGTAAATTCTGAATAAGAATTCAAATATCTGCATTGGGCAATTACACATTTCTGCCTTTTTTGATTTTAAACTTTTCTCTGATGAGCAGAGGTTTTTGTCCTAAAGTAATAGGTGGCCAGTGAATATAGGTAATGAAAAAAAAAAACTTTTTTTTTTTCTTAGAAGAAACGCGTTTTCTTCTATGATGGACTGTCTCTGGAACTCAACAGTTTTAGTGCACTGTTGACTCGGGGACGTGGCTACAGCAAAATGTATGTGGAAGCATCTGAATCCTTGACATCAGCTATAATTTGTGATGAATATAAGTTCAAGTTGACATGAATAGCTTAAAAAGTGCATTGGTTGGCTAAGTGGAGCACTTCGGCTATAGCACTTCAAGTACTTCATCTAAAAATTGACAAGTGCAACAAAAAATCACCACTTGTTACTAATATTTCTAAATGTGCTAGCACAGGGTGTCTGGAAATGAGCTTGATAAAAGGTATGTATTTAAAGCATTACTAGGTAACATTTAGCCTCAAAGCAGTGTTACTTGTACACCACTAAGCATCTTCTAGCAGTACTAGTTAGTGAGCAGATTCAGTAGGGACAAGTAGGGCTTTATCAGTCAAATGCCCTATATGCTGTGATAGATTTACCGTCCGCTAATCAACCAAGATTTGAATGACTTTCAACCATTTGGATCATTAGTGTTTTAGTGCATTGGTAGGT